AGTGCCAAGCAGGCACAGGGCAATTTATAGATGATAGAGACAAAAAATCCACTAATCCTCTGATATCCTAGGTGTATATCTTAAAATATACTAATGTGGCATAGTCATAAACATGTTGAATTAGGACTGCATTGTGTATTGCTGAGACTCTTTTAATCATGAAGGCATAAAAATCATTTAAATAAATAAAGAAGCTTCACTAGCTATCAATTGTTTTTCAAGCCTAATTCAAGATGTTCATGATGGCACATAAAGCCTTAGGCACAACTTACTTTCAGGGCTTTCTATTCCCAAATAGTCCATTTAGTACTCTTAGGTGCAGTTCTTGTAGGCACCATCATCAATATATTTGACACACTGATCTCTCTGTTGTGGCACCCATATTATAGAATAAATTGCCACTGGAGTTGAAGCAAACCATTTATTTACTACAGTTTAGAACATTTATTTTCACAGGCCTTCTAATGTCAATATTTCTATTTTTATTTTCATTATCTATTTTAATTTTATTTATATTATTTTTAACTGCATGCTAATGTTTTTGCTATGCCTATAATAGCTCTGGATAGCTTGCAAGGCATAGCAAAAACTTCTCTAAATAAATTAATTAAATTCAGATATTTAAAAAGAGGATATTATGATTAATCTACAATAACACAAAAACAAGTGCATTATTATAGTAAATGCTAAATAAATGATAAATCAGATTTCTTTATTACTGAAGAAAGCTGATTTTAATCATAAGAAAGTCGAGAGAGAGAGAGAGAGACAGACAGACATCAACAAAAATAACCTATCCCATATATATATATTTCTTGCACATTTCTATCTCCTTTTCATTACGAGATGGCTAGTTACCGCAAGTTGTTAATGTTAGTATGCCTTCATATTGCCTTTTGGATAATTATATATTATTGAGAAATAAAAACAGTGAAAAGTTAAATAAACTAAAGTGCACTCAGATTAAGAAGGAAATTCTATAAATGCTAGCAGACATTCAGTAAAACTACCAAGTATAGTAGCAAATATAATTCAAGGTGATTGCTTCTCAACTAATTATTACTGAATTTATATAATAGCAAAATCACTAACGTGACTTCTTGAACCAGCCTAAGAAAAGAACTGTGCAAGACTCAATAAGGTAGCAATTTTAAACATACATTAATGGCCTTAGTAGCATTTCTTGAACAAGCTGCCCATCTCATAGAAAATATATTTCCACTACTTGTTTTTAAAAGATAAAATTGTTTTTAATAAAACTGTGTCTGTGCAAGACATTATGAAAATAAATTTTCTACAAACCAAATCAAATTATTACTTACTATTTAAACCCCCAATAAATAAAAATGTACAAAACATGCAGTTATAGGACATTCCAGCCTAAAAACAGGCTCTTTGGAATGCTCTAGAAAAGATCAGTCTGTTTCAAAGTCAGATTTTTTTCAGAATGCTGCGTTATTACCTGAGATATTACCCAAGATATCCTTGGTGTGACAAACAAGGTCCTCACTTTCTCCATCTTTAAAGTTACCAATTTCTCCATAGTATAGTGAAATTCCAAGCTGCATTATACGGATAAACATAGGAAGCTGTTGATCAGTAATGGAAAGTTTCAGACTTTCAACTAAAGTATGAACCTGCAAGTACAGAGGAGAGCACATATAAAAATAATCAGATTCCAATGCTCACCACTAAGAAGCACCTGAAGACAGACAGACATAGGTACCATAGGACAGCGCAATTAGATATTCAGTAGGGTTGTCTCGGGCACATCTCCATCTTCTTGTACAAAACAACTTCGGAACCAAACAAATGTAAAGTTTTATTTTCATTACAACATATAAAACAGATAAACTTCTGAAAAGAAAAACACTTTATCTTCAAAGGTTCTAATAGAGAATGTTAAACATGTGTTTAGCTCTCTGGTAATATCCTAAACTTTAAGTGGGCCACAGCTTTTGAATATGATACTTTATATAATTCAACTTGTTGGGCACCCCTACACAGCAACTGGCCATTAAATAGTCACATCTTTCCATTGTCCCACTGGAAAGAAGTCTATCAAATATTCATAGTTTAGTAAAATAAATATTTTTGAACATCTATATTTCCATGGAAAAGTATGTTATGATAATATGATATAAAGGACAACATATTGATTTAAACCACAAGAGAAAAATGAAAATTCTTTTAATGAAAATCCAAACCACAAATAAAACTCTCTTCTGTGACTATAACTATACTCCTTTTAAGTAGATTATTTTAATGTAGGTAAATTATACATTTGGCAAACTCCTTCTTCAGCTCCAACAAAACAATCCAAACAGAAAAACAGTTCAGAGATACATGAAGTGCTCATTATCCAAGAATTGCAGTGGATTTCTATCATTGAATACTGAACTAAATATATTATTTATCTCACTCCATGGGACTGTTCAAAACTAGCTAGTGAGGAATTGCTATATACATTACTGCCATTATGACCAGCTAGGCTAGGGACTTTCCTACGTCCGCACAGAGACTATTACAATCAACTGCCCTTTGACAAACCACAAGAGAAATGCCATCTTCTCTGGAGAAGATACAGGTAGTCCTCGACTTACGACCACAACTGGGACCAGAATTTTGGTCACTAAGTGATGCAGTCATAAAGCAAGACATCATGTGATCACATTGCTTAGCAAACACGATACTGGCAATCCCCATTGCCTTCATTAAGCTAATTTTACCAGTCATTAGCCAAGTACCCACCCCAATCCAAGCCATTCTGGGCTTGGTCCCTCCCAGCCCCAAGTAAGGTAAGGGACTACCTCCAACTCCCCCCATCTCTGCCCTTTTGGCCCCCCTGAAAGGGCATTCCTTTGCAAAGAACTTTGGCATGCCCTTTGAGCTGCTTTATGTTTTTTTCCTTATTTGCCACACGAAGCCAGCCCCATATGGCTCAGCAACCAGGCCGGGCATGCCTCATCAGCAGCAATAGCAAGACAGCGGCAGTCAGCTGGGGTGGCAAAGCGCAAGGTGCAGGGGACGCAAAGGGCACAAATGGGGGGGAGATAGGTGGGGGGAGTTGCAGCGCCTCTGAGGTTGTAAATGCGGGCAGGCTGCCAAACGCCTGAATTTTAAACATGTGACTGCGGGGGTGCTGCAATGGCCATAACGTCAGGCACAGGTCATAAGTCACTTCATTCAGCGCCATCATAACTTCAAACAGTCACTGAACAAATGGTCGTAAGTCGAGGACTACTTGTATCATCACCTGAGAAGACTGTATTTAGCGCAACAAACCATTCCTGGAATCACGGAATCCTAAGAACTGATGCTTGGCTCTTCCATGTCCATCTCTTTTTAGATTGTGAGTCTCAAGGGAAGATGGTCTTGTTTTATTAACAAATGTATTATTTATTATGTGAACCACATGATAATTTTTAGGGGAATATAAATGCATTCAATAAAATAAACTATAGACTGTTTATTTTATTTAACTAAACTCATGTATTTTAATAATCACCATTCCGATTCAAGCTCCACTAAAGCTGCTTAGCTTTCATTCTGAGTTTTTAGAAGACATTCTGAAGTAATATAAGCCCTGTTCTGGCATTATGAAAATCAGTACATGATGTCAAGGATGAGCCCTGCTATTTCACAGTTCTGCTAGTAATTTTAATCTGCAGAACAGCCACGTGTTCAGTAAGGATGTCTGTACAAGAGGCACTTTCCTGTCTGCAGACATAGCTATACACAGAAAGTCTTCCTTGATGCAGACATCCTTGCTGAATACAAGGATTTCTTAATAGATCAGAGATCATCTGCATTTGAAGGAGTAGGGCTTATTTCTGCTATTTACATAGGAAGTTTTAATCCTTTTTAATCTTCTACCTGAAGTTCTTAAATACCAGTTTAAGGCCAACAGAAAAAATCAGTAACTAAAATTTAAATATACATCTGGGCATTAAAACAAAAATAATTTTAATAAATCTCAAAACCATGGTAAGTAAATGTTAGATATTTGGCTTATAAAAACAAGTGGGAGTCAACTTATAATAGTTTATACCCTTGTAATTAGAGCCATGCTTTCCATTAACAAGAATTACTTTTAAACAAATATTCTTAGGATTGCACTGAAAGCTAAATAATGATATTTCTCTAAAGCAAATTCTAGGAGTACAGGGGTAAAAAACAAAGGATAGTATCATTTTACAATTAATCTACATGTTACAGCTGTGCAAAACATTTAAAACAGTTCATGACACGGCTTAGCATCTTCCTTTGAAATCTTCAAGTAACTGCTGCTTTTGCAAGACGCACACAGCTGATTTGAGAGCTGCCCCAGCTTTCTCCATGCACATGTACATGCACAAATATTTCATTTCATTGACAGCTTCAGCAGAAGTGTAATTAATATTCATATGCATGTGCAGAAAACTGGGGATATGTGTGGTTATATGAGGCTTTTAAGTAGTTACATGAAACTCACAAAAGACACAGCTGCTTTAAAATTTTTGAAAGAGGTGCTCTGTTTCTGCTAGTGCACACTGAAAACTATAAAACAGTTCTTTTCAATGTTTTATATAATCCTACAGATGACTTATGTTGCATAGGAATGCGTCCATCCATGACAATCTTACACCCAAAGTCTATATACATTTAGTGTGAGCAATTACAACTGAAAAACATGCACAGAATTACATTTCCTTCCTGGAGGCAACAAACTTCACTTAGTGTACAATGTATGTTTGCATGTTCAGTCATCCCTCTACATATGCATGCACATACATGTATACATATACATGTGCATAAGGACATACACTTGCATACATGTGTACAAAGATATATGCACACACAGGGGTTTCTTATATGTATATATATACATACACAAGTATGTATAATCACACCCATATAAGCATGCATGCACACACAAACACAAATCTAATGCAATTAAAATTTAATTATTAACCAAATATATGTGTGTGTGTATGTTTTTAAACAAACACAAATAAGCAGGCAAGGTATTTATAATCTTTAATTAGATTAATATTAATCAGTATTCTTTAACAGACATTTTATGATCATTGAAACTGAATTAAAACTATCTTTATATGAGAAGAAAAGAAAGCATACAGGTAATTAGTATGAACCACAGAAAAGACTGTGTCCATGTTTTGTGGTCAGATATTTATGATCCTGCCATAAATATTTATCTGTATTAAAATTTGGAATAAAATCTGAACAGCAAGTCCGTGACTGAATTTTACTCCTCAGTCAATGCGGCAATCTGTAAATTTCAAAGGAGCAGCACAAAATTTAATATTCTATTTAAATATGACAGCTAAATAACACCACAGAATAACATGTCTCAAATATGTCTGAGCTTATAAAAGCCATGATTCTGTAACAAGCATTTGTTTTAGAAATTATGAACACAATTATTTTTAAAGAACTTTAGCAGTCATTTAGTTCTACTTCAGCATTACTGAAAATGTCAAAACACTTAATTTACAATAAATAAATTGTGCACCAGCTCAAAAATTATTTAAAAAGTCCATGATCTATCCAATACCTTTAATACCCTGTTCTAAAGCATTTTCTACCCACTTCACCATTTGGATAATAAAGCACACATTCCAAACTATGAAGACCTACTCTGAGAGAATAAAACTCAGAATTCCATTGAAAATGCCCATTACTTAAAAAAAATAATTTGTTGACTCTGATCCAACACTTCTGAATATTAATCTTCAGTTCTACAGACAAGCCTGTTTGAAGTTTGTTATAGTTAATAAATTGAAGCTACACGGAACAGCTTTAAATGTCCTTTATGTTGAATTGGTAGCCTACATTAGAAGAATGAAACCACATGCTACTGGATAAATTATGCACAAAACAACTGCTTATTACAGCATGTGGCATCAATAATACTAGTAAAATTAGCTGCACATAGGGATAGATAAATTACAATACACAAGCCCACATCTGGAAACAAGTTCAACATAGATAAAGTTACTGAGCTTCCTCAGTTTTATGTCAGAAATAGGTTAAATTTCCAAAAATACATGCTGTTATTGACTCTTGGATAGAGCTGATGATGCTGGTCCCAAGATACATATTAAGATACATCATCTTGACATAAGATGAAAATAAACTACTTCAGAAATGAAGAATATTTTGAACTCCAAGCTATGTTTTTTTTCCCCTTCATCTATATTTTTTTCTAATAATCTTAGCCATGCCAATATCAGGAAGGAAATAAGGAATCCAGAATTTCACACAGTAGCAAGACTGTACAACATGGATGAAATTAACATATAACATAGAAATTCCTGAAACTCAAGTTCTGGTCACTGGTCAGAACCCAATTCTCACATTTTTTATTTCAGCAATAAGTATATCCCCAAAAACTTCAGTTACGTGTTTTGGGTTTTTCATGAATATATGACTCAATTATCAGGAAATCTACTTACTTTAATAATGGATGGCATCTTAGAATTAAGATTATCATAAGTGAAGTGCAAACGAGTTCTAAACGAACATTTGTATAGCAGAGGATCTTGATAAAATTCAATTTTGCCGCTAGCATTCCTCTTGTCTAGGCAAACAGTACAATCAGAAAAGTTTATCACTTTCCTTAGTACCAAATCAGTTGCTATGAAAGAAAGAAAAACACTGTTTCATTTTTAAAGCAAGATAAAAAAAATACAGTACAAACATTTATGTTCTATTTAATATGTGTAAGGAACCATACACTGCAGGACTGCATAAACCTCTTCAGGATAACAGCTCAACATTGAGTGAGACACTGGAAATAGTGCTTCAAAAAGGAGGTACGCAGGACAAAAACTGTACAATAGATGGGACCAGGATGAAAACTACATTTGCTTTACCTTTCATTTAAAATAAATGTATGATTACTCTTGATGTACAAAATAACTCCCCTTCTTTCACATTAAAAATAACAATTCACAGCCACTTTTGGAAAGGTTCCGGCAGCCACACAGATTATGCTTCTTTGATATATAAATGCACAAATCCCAGAATTTGTTGAATATATATATATATCAACAAAAAATACCAGGGAAACTAAGCTAATGAGGAGCTTCCAAATACATCCTGTTGCTTGATATCTATTTCAATGTCAGTGCCGAATCTGGAAGGCTCAACTCCTCCACCCCCTCGAAATTTAGTGTTTCATGTCCTAAGGATACAATAGGGAAGCACAAAAGATCATCTCATCTGCAAAACTAGGTGGTCCAATGTTTCATTTGTCCAGTCAGGAATTATCATCTCTCTGGTAAGCAACACAGAGCCCACTTACCTGTCATGGTTCCCTTATTAGTCAATAGAATAGCCATTTCCCAGTCCCCTTAACTGGAGGCAGCTGGGCTATTTTTTTAAGTCTGACAAAAAGTTATGATTTACAGATTACCTGATATATCCATAAAGGCTCGATCCCAAAATTCATCTACTGTGTAACATTCCGCAGAAGTAATATTAACAGAAAGAACAATATCATCCTCCACATATTTGAGTATGAGGTTATTAATGACAATGTTGACATTGTTTATAACTCGCCAAATCAAACTTTGTACATAGCCTAAGAAGGAAACATGAATATGGTCAATCTTTTATTTGGGAGCTCCATCAGCAAGCTGCTAAAAACAAAATAAGTTTCTTAAATTTGCCAATCCAAAAAAGCATTTAAATAAAACAAATGCCATCAACTTTTCTCGTCTTTAGTGTTCGGTAATTATAAATATCAAATAGAATAGGCATCCCCCAAAATCAATAGATGATCATCATCCAGTTGAAAGTTATAACTTAAAAATCACAAATTAATGCATATATGACAAAAACTAGCAAGAGTAAACTCTGTTTCCAGGTGTCCTGACAAATTCAGCTTCAGGACTTCTGAAACATAGATCTGCATGGCAATCTCCATTTCCAAGACATAATCCTTGCACACATCTTCCTCCCCCCACCCCTACCCCCTGTACCCTCTAATGCTGCAGAAAGAATGTCAAGAGACTGGGCTATTGCCTTATTAGTGATTTATAGCAATTACAGTGTTATCCAATTGCTAATATAACAATAATGAGGATAGGTTTTATATTACTATAACAATGGCTGGGTCATTTGTAGGAGATGCTACAAAACACTAGTGAGGAAATGGACATAGATTGCCTTCTAGATCTAACATCCTAAAAGCCTGATTAAAAAAATGAGTCTTTGCAATAAGTTGGTGCCTTAGGTTTGCTAATATAGGTCCCTAATACAGGTACTCCTCATTTAGCAACTGCCTCATTTAGCAACCATTTGTAATTACAACAGCAATGAAAAAGTAACTTTACAACCAATCCTCACATTTACAACCTTTGCAGGTCTGTAAAGCAAAAGAAAGCTGAAGTAAGGTCATGAGCACAGTTGCAGTTCACTTAGTCACTGCTTTGCTTAATGTTCGAGTTGCCGGTCCCAATTGTGGTCACTAAACAAGGACTACCTGTACTATTTGAAAATAAATGTCCAACAAAAATGGATCAACCACTGATTTCCCAAGTTTATTTCTACTTAATTTTAATAACAAACCAAAATTTCTCAGGCAATGACAAATGTGCTCATAAAAATGTCCTCTATTTGGAAGATAGGGCGGTAACTCTCAAAAGGTCCAACTCCAAAACATTGTACCTCTTATCTTTTTTCCACAAGAGTTATTAAATGTCCAAATATACTATTTATATAACAAATCACCTGGTGGCAAATCAGGATCAGGAGTAGTCTGTTGGATTTTTCTTGGTTTCATTGCTGTTTTTGAACCTTCAGTAGTACTACGATTTGTTGAACTGGAACCACAACTTTCATGGTCATCCTAAAATATTTTTTAAATTATTTGTTATAGATCAGCAAAGAAAGAAGTGCAAACATTTGGTAGTTAGGTCATTTTTGTGCCTTCTTTTCCATAATAGGAATTGGTGACTTATTTGATTTATATCCCAGCTTTCAATTCAACTGAGTACTTAAGGCAGCTAACAGATTAAAAACAAAATGCAGAATAAGCTTGAAAATAAATTAATACTAAAATATATTAACATTTAAAACCTGGCGAAGGAAAAATACCTAGTCTACTGTTCTAAATGCAAAGGAAGTAGGGACTAAATGCAACTCCCAAGACAACGTTCCACAGCATAGGAATGATGTAGCAGGAGGCCCTCACACACGTGCCAGAAAACAAGCCTATGACAGCTGGGACATCTTCAAAAGGGCCTCTTCTTACAGATTACAATTGGCAGCCAGGTTCACAAAAGGAAGCAATTCTTTAAATAGGTTGGACCCTAAACCATTAAGGCTTAGTGAGGCTGACCCAACAACAAATTGTGCTCAGTAAACAATGGGCAACTAGTGCAGATTTTTCAGTACAAGCAGTAGTTAACAGTCCAGCTGCCATATTTTGTGACAACTGCAACTTCCAAATATTTTCCAAGGGTAGCCCCTCACGCAGGCACTGACTGAAGTAGTCAAGACTAAGTGGAACCAAAGTATGGATAAATGTTACCAAATTTGACTGGCTTAGGAATTATTGCAGCAGTAACTATAAATGTGCTTCTTGTGAATCCACTGACAGCTGAGGATCAAGAAACACTCTTAGACCATGACTTGTCATTCAGAAGTAATGTAAACCCACATAAAGGAATGTAGAAATACCATGTAAAGAATGTAGAGATAAGCTTGAGGAAAGAATGGATGAGCTGCTAAAGGAAGAAAAAGAGCAATTCACTCCTGAGACAGTATGAGAAAGAAACCCAAAATTAAAAAAACCCCTCTCCATTCTGTTTGATATAGGTGGGGGTAGAAAGAACTCTGGCAGTCTTTCATGATTGTGTTACTATATCCTATAACAATAAAATAGAATTGTTGTAATCTTTGTGATATCTCTTTCCTAACCTGGCCTACCTCTAAGGGCTGACAAACCAACCCAAACTAGCTGAATCTCAATCCCTATCTAGTTTCCTACTGTTTCTGTTCTTCCTGATCTAGCCCATTATCAAACACAAACAATACTCAATAGTAGTGACTACTCCCTTACAGTTTGATTCAAGGAGCAATTAAACTTGTTCTCATCCACATACAGATAGCATCCGACTCTAAAGCCCCACATGACTTCCCCAGCAATTTCCTATAGATGCCGAACAGCACAGGTGCTGCAAAAGTTGGTTCCTAGACTGATAAAATTTCAACAGACAGTTATGAAAACAGCCAGCTGCAGACCTTCCCAGCTTCACTGAAGAAGCCTGACTGTTTACCAGTTCATGGAAGAGCCGTATAAGGAGAATCAGACAGTTTCCACTCAAATATACATGGATATTTGGCACCAAACTGAAAATAATTCACTTATTGAAATTCTTGTATTCCTACTCCGTGCACCTCAATAAACCTTGCTAAAGAAAACTCCATGAGAATCATGTTTGGAATCATGTTTGGAAAAGAAACAGACTAAAGAGTAAGAAAAAATTATCTGGCAAAGCCCAAAATTTACCATAGCTGATGTATTTACAGATTGCTGGAAGAATAAAAAGCAACCCCCAAAAAGGAGGGTTTTTAAGACAAATGATAGAATGTGAAATACTTACACAGAGCCAAGACCACCTATTAGAACATATAAGTAAATTGCTATTAAAATAATAGCAACACAGAAGAAGTAAAAGACTTTATGGTAAAGTGGATGCAATTACTATACATTACAACAATGAGAGGACTTATATAAAATGTTGGAAATATTACAATACCAAAGGAACCTGTGATAGTCATAAAAAAAATCAGAAATACTAGAAATAAATACACATTATTCAAAGAAATTTAAAAATAAAACTTGAATTGAAACCTCCATTCTCTCTACTAGAAATCTTTCCACAACAAATACATTTTTAAAAATCACAATTTATCAAGATACGTACTGATGGCCACAAGGACAAGTTAGATCCAACATGGGAAAAGAGATGTTTGGTGACAATATCAGACTGGGACCCCAAGTTTCGAGAATTTGCAGCAATGGTAAAATTAACAATATACATCCAGAACAAAATTTTGGCTAAATTTAAGCAAGAATGACTTCCCTATATATTACATGACACAAAACAAGGCAACTTGGAGCATAGTTTTTGAGGAGGAAATATTTCATGTAAAGATAGTAACCAGAAACAATTTTAATGTTTATATATGTTTTGATGTAATCACCAGTCAGGTATAATGGGACAGAATTTAGAACTTAAGTTTTTACTGATATTTTTTCATCTTTCTTTCTTTTACAAGTTCATGTGCATTTATTTTAGGAATAATGAAAAATAGTGGTGACATCAATATAAATATAAATGTTTAACAGTTTTGTAGTGATTTTCAGTTATTTCTTATGAGGATATGATTTTAATGAAATAGTGCATTTTAATTTTATGACAATTATAAATTCTCTATTTTCTAATATTTTATTTTCCATCCACTATGCCCTTTTTCACTTTTTTCATTTAAGTAGTCATTTCTTTTTCCCTTAAATGTTTTAAAATAAAATTTAAAATGTTTTAAAAAGTAGAAATTTTAAAAAATCATCCACCAAAACTATCACTAGGCATCGATTCTATGAGCATCAAGACAGTCTCTTTACTCTCAAAGCTGTATAAAAGCAAAGCTAACAAGATCTAAGAATCTAAAAACATTCAAATAAAAGAAATCTAATTCTGAAGAAATCAGATGGTTTCACGAACACCATAGGGCCTGCTATCACAGTACATTAATTGAATCCTGACACTACTTGTGGGGGAGAATTCTTTTTCCAAGACAGTGATCATGAAGTTATTTCATTTACTCTCCTCAAAACAGCTCACAGCATACACTGATCTCTTGAAATTTGGCTTCAATTATGCCATTAGAATATCATATGTGGTGATGTGGGTCTCTCTTAATGACCACAGCCTTAAAAAGAATGCAGTTTTTGATTGATCAGGGACAGTGGTTACAATAACTTCTGTGGGACAAATAAAACTACAATTTAGTAGACTTGTGGAAAGCTAATTTCATAATGTTTACGTGCAGAAAACACAAAAAACATTACTGTACTGCTGAAACATTTTCCAAATCAGCAGTAAACAGAATCTCATATAATCTTAAAGACAAACAGAACACTAAGCTCACCTTAAAGCGCTTTTGGGACAGTGAAAGCTAAATTCTCCTACATTTGTTCTAGCGGGGTTAGGACTAACGGCAACAGCACCCCTCCCTTCCAGTTACAAGACTGATAAAAATTTAGAGGTTTTGTATAAGGCTCTATCACCAATTCTCACCTTTTACAATCATTTAATTCTTAGTCTTTATTATAAAAAGTTATTATTTTAATTGCTGTTTTTAATTACTTCTACAGCTCACAGAAATATAGCTTCTTCTTTTCCTTTTCTCCATAAAGCCTCTCCCTATATTCTCAATTTACTGCTTTGCCACTTAAGTAAATTCTAAGTAATTAACTTCTTGACAGCTTTCATTGCATTACTTCATCTGTATCTCAAACACCTGAATGTCCATCAACTTCTTCACAACTTAATTTAATGATGCTTCTATATTAGTCAGAATGACCACAGAACATTAAAAAAGTAGACTTGTTCCTCAGGCTTTCAGTGTGAACTGAATTAAATCTACACTTATTTCACAACCCATAAAATTTTATTCTGCGTATAATAAAATGTTAGCAGCAGTCAGTTGAACCAAACTTTGGCAACAGCAAAAGGTAATACCAACTGTTAATACCAAGTAACTAGAGTAGCTTTTTTCAACAAAGATAAATATAACAACTGGGGAAGCATCTAATTGTAACTTCTTCCAAAATTAATAAACACTACCTCTTTCTAACAAGCTAATAAAAGGTTAGAATTAAAAGGTTAGTACTCTGGTATTTCACTGCTGTAGTGTAAACATAATACATCATTTATTATAACACAGAAGCAAAACTATAATTGTAAACTGGACTTGTAAATGGCATTTAAACAAAATAAGCTTTAGTCCAAGGAACATAATAAATTATTGTTAAATTAAATAATAACAACAGGGTTTTTTCTCCTTATGCAGGGAAAGTTGCCTAGAGAGTAACTCCAATTCCTGTAACAGAAAATGTTAACAATTTAACTTTTCTCTATTCAGTCTTCAAATGAGGAAAAGTCTCTTACTCTATCCAATAAACTATAAATGTATAAGCTTATAAATTAATGTTATAATGTACTAATCTAAAGCCTTTTGAAAACATAATGAGACACCGAGGACAAGTATTTCATCTGTTCTAAACTAATGTAAATCTAGAATAATATCAGTATTCTAAATCTAGAATAATTTCAGAGGAATTATTCAAAGCACAGGGAAACTATTAATTTTCAAAATTACATTATTAACACGACCCTTCTCACACACAAATAGCTAGATTCAGTAAACAATGTTTACTAAGTACAGATAGTCCCTGAGTTACAACTGCAATTGGTGGCTAAGCAGTGCAGTCTTAATTGCTTAGCGACGACAATCCGGATAGTCCCAGTTGTCTTGTAACCCAAGATGCATAGGTCATTAAGTGGGAAGGGAAGAGTCCCTGGCAAGGAGTGTGAGGGTGCAGCAGTGGGTGGGGGAGGCCTTGGGAGGCCCAGCACAGGCCACAAGTTGGGGGAGAAGGTGCTGCGGTTCAGTGCGAGCTCAGGAAGGCCAAGAAGGATGGCACAAGGTGCAAGCAAGTGCAGGGAGGCGGGGAAAGAGAGCATGGGGTGTGTGCGTGCATGCATGTGTACAAGTGTAGGAAGGCTGCGAAAGAGGGTGTGGGGTGCGGGTGCATGCATGAGAGCACAGGG